CATGGATTTTTAAGGGATAGTTTTGCTTTTGAAATACTTGAGAAACTATACAGTTAAATGACAGTTTAGTAATTGATTGTACAATTAAAGACAAGCCATTTTTAATCAGAAGAATACCAGGTATTTCTTCCTTGTTTGCATGTTGAGGAAATCAAAGTAAGCATAATTCCCCAAAGGGACTTGATAAATCTATCATCAATCTCAGCATAAGGTCATATCGAAAAAAAAAAAGATCCAGCTAATTCAAATGCATAGAATTGGAGGATCCAGTTTTAGAAATTTGTTTCTTGCATACCTCCTATTCAAATGGGAAGGCTAAAATCCTATCTGGTGACCTTTTAAATGTTTTTGGTTTTTACTGCTGCTGAAAAAATCTATTCTGAATCTTCCTTTTGAGCCTTTTCTTGCCATCTTACCTCTGGAAGCTGCATGGTTATGTATCCCTTTTAGTGCTAGTAAACTCTTTAGTTTTCTTTCCCATTAGATTATCAGACTGTATTTTGGACAGACAAGATGTGTGACTAAAATGAGGTTCATTGGTCTATTCTGGCATAAGGCAAATTATTGTTAATGATCAATAGTAGGATTTGTGTTTTAGGGAGGGGAAAAAGTGTCTAACTTGAGTCTCCAAAATGTCCCGTATTAAATAAGTATTTCCTTGGACACAGAGGAAGTACCTGTTACTGGTCTGTCAAAAGACTCTTTGTTCGGGGAAATTTGGATATTGATGCTTAAAGCTTAATTTACACCTAGTGCTGTTCCTCCATAAAGTGTGAGGAATGTGGTCTGTGACTTGGAATCGGGTACTGCCACCTGCTGATCAACAGTCAAAGTGTACCGTTTATTTACTGAATACACTTTTAAATAATAATATACTTTAAAAATCCTTAATATTAAAAATTAAAGAGTAGTTACTGAATATAAACTCCTCTTGTATAAAAAGAGCTAGAAAATTATTTTGAGCCTACTACTTACTATGCTATTTGCTGGAAATTCTCAGATGTCTATGTGTTTGTAAAACACAATGAGAAACTTATTTCACAACCAAACAAGAGCAGGCCCTCGTTTCCTTACTTGCTTGTTACCCAGATGATCATTTACAATGCTGTTGAGGACTTAGGTCCTTACTTTTCAGATAAACAGACTATCTTGCAGCAAAGTGAATTAAGGATTTCTTAAACTGTTCATGCACAAGCACTGTTGACAGTGGTGTTGGAAAAATTAATTATGAGGCATTTTTCTCT